TAGCTAATATGCAAAAAAATCATCCAAAAAGTCATTTGATATGAATTTGTTGGCATGAAGATTACTTGGTGATTGAAAGTGTTAGATGAAGTGGGGAAACAATTGTGACAATGAATTCCATTAGTCTTCGTCACATTTAAAACGAAAGTGGGGGCGGTGGAACACTCTAAAGTGCTTTTACAAACTGCCGGCACGTATATATTAATATTAGTTTTGTAAAATAAGGAGGGGCAGATGGTTGGCAAAGAAAGTACTTCCACTTAGAGAAACACTCTGTTCATGGAAGATGATGTTCGCTAAAAAGAAAGAAAATTTTAACTCTCATATATAACCTCCTTCAACCACTATACAGTAGAGGGATTTAGACTTTCAATTGGAGCATAACAGTGCAAAGAAAATCTATAGAGGTGGTGTTTCTGAGGTCACCATATAGCATATTATATCCACTCTCTATATTTGAAAGAAATTGCACCAACAAGAAGAAGGGACTAAGATGGCTATTGAACGGTTTTGATTTTGATTCTAATTAAAGACTAGAGTCAACCATGATGGATATGCATACACGTTTTTGTTGCTCCCATTTGTACCACTATTTTGGAGGTCATGGCATCATGGAGGATGAAGGGAGGGTGCTCTGTCATTGTCTCTATCCATAATTTCAAACAGTGGCAACTTTCAAGTATTCTTAAAACGTGAAACAGAAAAGGTTAAGGCCATAACCTCTGAAAACAGAACCTAGTTCTTTTTTGCTCTTTTCTTCTTTTCTTTCTTTCTTTCTTTTTTTTTTTTCTCTGGCCTTCAAAAGCAGAACCTAGTTTTTTTTAAAAAAAATAAAAATTTGTTTTCCTGCTCGGTTCTCACTACTGCAAGAGATATTTTCTCTATGGCGAAATGTGGACCATGGTTCCTGTGCCTCTTTGAAGAAGTAAACAAAAGATAAAGCACTAAAGCAGGGCTGCAGCTGCAACTGACAATCACACCATTCACATTCAAAAAGCCTAATATATGTCTGTTAATTAACATTTGTTGGACATGCACCATTCAACTTTATTTGGAATGAAACTCAGATGACAAAGGACTTCCATTTCTCCATGGGAAATGTTAGGAAATGTTCACCTTAGTGATTGGGCTCAAATTTTAAGTCTCTGTATCTGGAGGAGCAAAATATAGACGAAATATGAACATGGTTAGGTATCCACCATCCAGTAAACCAACCCACTAATAAAATTTATTAATTTCCAAAAAAAGGCAACAAATACAACTTGAGTTGTGATATATAGTCCTGGTTAAGTCATTCTTAAGCAGCAGCAGCCATGTGCTTCTCCAGCTTCTTAGTAGCCAACTTCAAAGGAATCCCTTCAGCCTTCAGTTCTGGTTTTTCAATTCCTTGTATGTCAG